GTGCCCTAGGCTCCTACACAGTGTTAGAAACTGCTACATGTTAAAATGCTGCTGCTGCAACCCAAATCACATACCCATTCCCTGCCTCAAATGTGTTCATGACCTGATGATTGCAATACATAGCTTGTCAAAGTGCTTTGAGATCCTACGAGAAAAGTAACTCCCTACAAGGAATTCTGCCGTTACTGTTAGTATCCAGTAAGCTGGACACCAGGCTGGGTAGCTCAGCCCCTCTATCAAATATGTTGGGTTTAAATACAGGCTAGCTAAGCAGAGCCTCTGAGCTTTACTGTAACTGACGGGCTCTTCAGCTAATGTTTCCCTTCACGCAGCATACTAGCTTTTACATTAAAGAGTATCATCTGGAACGAAGTCTTCATCCCTTCCCAAGCCTGATTTAATAAGTCCAAATCCAGGAGTTGACCTAGACCATGCCAAGGGCGAATGAATCACTTGCTGCCATCCATGCAAGCTATGTCTTAATCTCTTCTCTCCTTTGCTACCATTTCTTTCAAGGGTGGGGCTGTGGGCATAGATTAAATTTCCTGCCAACCCACTTTCTCAATCAGCCAAGTTACTGGGGAAGTGGGGGAAGGATGAAATCAGAGACAACCAACCCTCTAGCAGAAAATGGTATTAGAAGGCTTTGTAAGAAGCTCATCTCATCCATGCACTCAGTCCCATTCCAGCATGGAACCACTGTTCCCTAAAGTAAAGGAGCCTGCTTTCATTAGCAGTCATGTCTGCAGGAACTCATCAACTAAAATACGTTGGATCCCCAGAGTCAGAAAATCCCAAGTTTTTGCGCCATACTCCATGCCCAAAGCCCTCAGTACATAGCACCTTCCATCCAGCCCGCTGCATGGCCATGCAGGTGACCAAACTAAACCCTTCCTTGCGCTGCCGGTCAGCTCCAACAGGAGCTCTGGGCTAGTCCAGGCTCAAGATTAACAACTCGCATGTGCTCCCCTCTCTGGAAACACCACTGAGCTGCTATTCTGTGTATCGTCCTCCCTGCACTTGCGACATGCGGAGGCACATGTGGAGGAAGAGCCTTCAACAGAATCAAGTTACAAGGGTGCACAGACTTTCGTGATGGCTATGAAGACCCCAGCTAGATGGCTGATGTATGCACTTGCATACCCAATCTAGACCATGTTGTGATGCAAAATGTTGCCTCCAAGAGAAAAACGGTTTTCTCAAAAAAACAAACAAACAAAAAAACCCCACCTTTGTGTTACATGAAAAACAGAAATCAATGATGAAAGTTCCACTTTTTTTCTTTTTTTTTTTTGGGGGGGGGGGAGGCGGGCAGCGTGGGCAGAACATGGCAGTTTAATTTTTTCTCTCCAGTAGCAAATAGGGAACATAGCAACCTGGCCTGCGGTGTCATCTGAGGCCCTTGAAGAGAGCTAAAGTATGACATAAAGAGGCCTGATCTCCTGAGCACCCCAGATCCTCACAGGAAATCCAGTCAGGACACAGTCTGGTAGACTGGGTTCCACCGGAAACTTGCATGTGTTCTGGCAAGAGTTTGTTGAAGTGGGTTTTACTGGGTAACTTCCTTATCTTTAATTCATATGGCTCAGCAACACACAGTCCAAAACCTATCGAAGTTTACAAGCTTCTGTTGGCCTCCAGACCAGTTTTGGCAAACATTTGAAATCAGGCTCTCCTCTTGACCAACCTTGAAAAAGTTCCTGAGAGATCTGTGCACTGCTAAAGTCTAAGGAATCCCGTCGGTCATTTTTTCTGTCTCAGCATCCAGATGCTCAAGTATATCTTGTGTTGGAACATGCTATGATCCATGTTCTTTTGATACTCTCTGGTGGCAGGTGATACAAGTGGCAGGACTGGCATTTAAAATAACATTCCTGACACCCACTGAAACAAATTACATCTCTGGCACCTAATGTGGTGGGCAATCCCTACTGCACGCTTGTGGTTGAAGGCTCTCAGCAAACTCAGGAATTTCAATAGTGATTTCCACTTAAAACTCTAATAATTTGATTTTTTTTTATGAAAGCAAATACCTGAAACTCTACCAAGACATCTAACTGGTACCGCACTGCTAGATACTGCCAGATATTATAGCAGTGTCTCACTAGGTATGCTTTACAGACTAAAACAGCACCACACTAGGCGCTACACAAAAAATAGTCAACTATTTATCAACTATGTCAACTATGTATCTTGGGAAATGCTGCTCAAGATCAATGGACGGAGGCATGCAGGAGAATAACCTAAGGGCAAGCCAGTGACAAGGAACGGATGTATAGCAGGGTACATGAATGTACAATCAAAAGATGAAAAATGCAAATATTAGTATTCTTACAGCAACCTTTCCAAAAAGGAAGTGCAGCCATCTTATATGCTTTAAGACCCACAGCTAAAAGCACATTCACAAGATCATTTTAAGATAAGTGTTGAAAACAAATACCAGGGAATGGGAACGCAAAGTATGTGCAGTACTGCTGAATTAGAGCAGCTGCTGAATCTCTAGGTTTCTGTTTTTAATAATCATTCTTAGCGTACATGGGTTATTTTAGAGAAAAAAAAATGAAAATGAAAACACTGAGATAAAAATGCAAAGTCTTTGGCAAAACATCAGACTGATTTAACCAATAATAACCTTCTGCTGGCAACCTTTGTCATGGAGTGAGGTGTGTGTGTTCCCTAGTTTCCCTGAAAGTGTGAATGCTTGAGCACTTACATTTTCCACTCAATATTTATGATGTTCTGGTTTATATTAACTTTCTTATAGTTTCTCCCATCATATCTACTACATATGCAAAAACCCAAGAAAGGGAAGAGGACTTCTTGGTGACTGTGTTAGATTTTGACCAGTCTTAGCCAGTGAACCACTCCTCAGGATGGCTAAAAATATGCCATGTTTCAGATCAGAAACTTAAGACATGAGAAAAGGCAGGCAATTTTGAAAAGCATTCTCTCCCATCACTCAAAACAGCACAAAGGATTTCCTCCAAAATGACAAGAAAATAAAACTCACCTTTTTGTAGAGAAGCAGACAGAGGCTTTGCAAACTTGGAAACTGTATATTTAAGGGCAATGTGTCAGACTGTTAAGAATGAGCAAAACAAAGCTATAGTGCAGCACCAAACTGGTTGGTGTAATAACATTGCATGGGCACTGCTTACTGCCACTTATATCAAGGATGAGCACCACGAGCCAAAATCATTGTGACTACAGCGTTAGATGGAAAAAAAAAGTAGCAGCAGGTAGTAAAAAGACCTTTTTATATGAATAAAGTTTTATTGAATTTTAGACAATTAGAAAGAACAAAGAAAGAGGAGCGAACAGTCTCATGGAGGGTAAGAACCAGAAGAGCTTTTCCCAGTAGAGAGGAGTGGGCCTGCTGAGGGCAGAGTTCCTGGAAATGTCACATAGAGGTGGCTACAAAAGCAGAGAGAACATCATGTCCGGGCTTTGCTTTGATTGGTGTTTTCCTCCACACACTATGGTTTCAAAAGCCAATCTTATACCCCCAACACCATCAGTCCTACCAGTAGCAGCACAGAGAGCAGATGGAGAAGAAAGACAACTGCTCTGGTGAAATGTGTGCACAAGCTCAGAGCAACCGCCCGTCCACACTGCTGAGGGTGCTTGCACCCATTCTGGACAGAGATGTGCGGGAGGGCGGAGGAAGGGAGGTTGGATATTTTTATTATTTTAAGCAAAGAAGGCACAAAATCTCAGCCAAGCATCAAACCTTGCGCAGCCCAGGAGCCCCCAAGCCCCCTAGAAGCCTGTGTGCCCACAGGGGAAGCCAGCCCTCATCTCCTTCTCTTGGTCAGTCTGTGCTTGCGCTTGAAGGGTGCAGCTCGGGCAGAAGGCCCTGCCCAAAGCTTGTGCACTAGTAGAGAAAGTAAAGCGTGCCAGAATAAGAAAATGGGGAAAAAGGAAGAGTCTTTACTAAGGTGAGAGCTACAGAAAGCAGCCTGTGATCCCTGACACTGCTTTTCCAAGAACACATGGGAGTGCTTCAGTGCTCTTGGAGGTGACCAGTGCTTTAATATGTGTAAGAGCTAGTGTTGTGCAGGAGGGCAGGGATATCTATCCAAGCGTGCTTGCTTGGACCCAGGGCTCTCCTAGGAGGGTAAGTGCCAGCCCCTCAGTCCAGCCCTCCAGTGGCACCAGACCCCTTGAGCAGTTTCAACTCTTGGCTTTGATTAAGGCTATTTAGTTGCAATAGAAAAAGTAAAAGAATAGATGCCAGCAACACCCACCACCCTGACTGTGAGGTGATGGCATAGCCACCAGCAGGTGCCACGGGATGCCCTGGGACCTATGGGGAGCAGTGGAGGCAGAGAGAGAGAGAGAGTGTGTGGGCTTGCCCAGGGTTATCCCCTCCGGTAAGCCCCTGTTTTTACTGCTTCTAAGCAAAGGGATTTGGAGGTAAGTCCTTTCAACCCTGGCATCTAAGAAGTGTGTGTGTGTGGGAGAGAGGAAACAAAATCTGTGGTCCTCAGTGTGAGGGCCCCAAGCATAAAACATGCCCTGCCATGCAGGTCAGCCCTAGATAGCCTGTTGAGGAAAACCTGCCATGCAGTCACCAAAGCTTTGAGGTTTCAAGCCACTTGCCCAGAATCAGAGAAGTCCACAAGCAGCAGATGCCTTTGGCCAGCCCTTTAGGACCTGTCTGCTGCTTTCCCACCCCACTGTGCTCCTCTCTGCCTCTGAAAAACCCAGGCAATAAAAAATGCTGCGTCCTACAGCAGCAGCAGGAGCAATGCACCCTCTTACCGCACAGAACTTCACAGGGAAGGATGCCTAGGGGCACCCAGAACTAGTGCAGGAAAAAATCCAGTGTATTAAGGACATGCGTGTGTGCATGTCTGTGTGTGTGTCAGAGGACGGAGGGTAAGAATTGAAAAAAATAAATAAAGAAAACCACTGTCCAGCCCATAGCCTTGCCCAACCTTCCTCCTTTGGCCTGGCTGGTGGTTCTGACCCACTCCTCAGGCCTGGGCCTCCCTGAGCCCTCATCTCCTCATGACTGTCCCCATCCCACCGTCCTCCCTCATCCACCAGCAGGGACAGGGCTGTGGGGAGGGGACTATGGTCACCAAGGCTGATGCAGACTTCTTCTGAGTGCCCCATCCCCACTCAGTGCTTTCTCTGCCTCTCCCAGACATGCTTGTCCCTCCCACTCCAACATAGTCTGTTGTCCTCTTGAAAATAAAACAGCAACAACAACAGAAAAATATATATATATTCCCAAACCTCCCTGAAAGACCCAAATGAACAGAAACAACCCCCAACAACAAAAAAAAAAAAAACTGAAAAAAGAAAACAAATTCCCCAGAGATTAGGGCCGAGCGTGCATCCCTGCTGGGGCCCAGCAGTCAGGGCGAGCACAGCAACGCCCCTAGGACCCTTCTCCTGTGGCCTTGGCACATCTGTGAGATCCACCAGTGTGGAAAAGCCCCCAAAACCTGGGGGGCAAAGTGGCAAGGCCGGGGCTGTCCCACCAGCCAGCAACAGTCTTGGGAGGGGGAAGGGCAGCAGGGAGAGGTGCATCTCCCCCCATCTCACCACATTTTTCAAGGAGTAGGAGGGTCTCTTGGCCATGTCTTCACCCCACCTGGTACAAGAAGCTTCTTGCTTTGCTTTTGCCTG